CTTTCCATTTGCTTGGAAACATTTTTTTCCATCCCTTCACTTTCCACCTGTGTGAGTTTTTTGTTGTGAGGTGGGTCTCTTGCAAGCAACATATTGATGAGTCATGCTTTCTTATCCAATCAGTTACTCTGTGTCTTTTTATTGGATTATCCAGTCCATTTACATTTAAGGTGATTATTAATATGTACTTATTTATTGCCATTTTTGTTTAGTTTGGTTATATATTTTTTCCTATTTCTTCTACTCATTACAGCACTCCTTTTAACATTTCTTGTAGTGCTGGTTTGGTGCTAATGTATTCCCTTAGCTTTTTTTTTTTTTTGTCTGGGAAGCTCTTTATTTTGAATGACAGCCTTGCTGGATAGAGTAGTCTTGGATTCAGATTTTTGTTTTTCATGACCTTGATGACTTCATGCCATTCCCTTCTGGCCTGTAGTGTTTCTTGTGAGAAGTCAGCTGAGAGCCTTATGGGGTTTCCTTTGTAGGTAACCTGTTGCTTCTCTCTTGCTGCTTTTAGGATTCTCTCTTTGTCTTGAATTTTTGGCACTTTGATGACTATGTTTGGGCCTGTTTGGGTTCTTCTTACTTGGGGCTCTCTGTGCTTCTTGACTTGAATGACTTCTTCCTTTACCAAATTAGGGAAGTTTTCTGTCACTATTTCTTTGAATATATTCTCTAACCCTTGCTCATCTTCTTCTTCTTTGAGGTCTCCTATGATGCAAATATTATTACGTTTGCAGTTGTCCCACAGTTCTCTTAAGCTGTCTTCCTGTTTTTAAATTGTTTTTTCCTTTTGGTTTTCTGATTGGTTTATTTCTCCTACCCTCTCTTCTAATTCGCTGATCTGGTCCTCTGCTTCCTCTACTCTGCTCTTTAGACCTTCCAATGTGTTCTTTATTTCTGATATGTCTTCCTGGTGGTTTTTAATTTCCAATTGGTTTATTTTCAGCATCTCTATGTCCTTACTTATGCTGTTGAGCTTCCTCAAAATCATGGCTCTGAATTCTAGCTCTGTTAACATGCCTAACTGCTCCACATTGATCTCATCTTCGGTGGAGGTCTCTTGTTGTTTCATTTGGCTTCTGTTTCTGTGTTTCACCATTTTGGTTATCACAGTTGGCTTTGGAGGCTGCCAAGTTTTCCCTGTGGGTATTGGTGTTGTGCTTTTTATGGCTCCCTCTCCTGGGTTTGGATAAGCCAGGGAGTACCCATGTTAAACACCACTGTCAAGTCTTACTTTCTTGTTTAGGGTTGCTGGCCCAGGAAGGGTACTGTTATCCTCTAGCTTTTTGCCTGGAGGCTAGCAGTCCAGGTTACCTGAAGAGTTTTAGGTTGTCACTTAATTGAAAATCTCCCTCAGGTGCTCAGGATAAGGGGATTTCCCGAGGGTGGAGCAGATGCTGGTTGTTAATGCCTCAATTTGCATATGTATGGCCCACAAGATGGGGTTGAATCTCCGAGGGAGGGGCTGCTGCCTCTCCCCAGAGCCCTGGGAAGGAGCAATATGGCCATCGTCCTGCATGACAGCAAGTCGGCAAAAGCTCTGAGCACCCTCCAAATCCCGAGTGTTTCCACACAGTTCCAGTCCAGTTTGCCTTTCCTCTGTCCAGCCCAAGCTGAGTGGCTGTGGCTATTTTAGCTTCTGTCCCAGCTCTGCGCTGTGGAGCTGCTTGGGAATGTAACCCGGGGGCGTTCACACCTAAGGCTGCTCTGAGCTGCTGACCGTGGGCTCCCAGCCCCCATCTCATGCCTTTGCAAGCCTACCAGGATCGAGTCAGTGTCCCTGGTTATATGGTCTTCATAAGATGCTTTTCTGTTGGTTTTTCCCATCAATTTGTCTGTGTTTTAGTTGTAATTCCAGTTGGGTCCTGGGAGATGGTCTGTGTATCTTCCATTCACTCTGCCGCCATTTTGGAAATTCCCTCTCTCTCTTAAAAAAAAAAAGACTTGTCTTTAAAAAAAGGAAACTCTCACCCTGGCAGGTTTGGCTCAGTGGTTAGAGGGTCGGCCTGCAGACTGCAGAGTCCCAGGTTCAGTTCCCGCTAAGGGCATATACCTCGGTTGCAGTTTGTTCCCAGCCCTGGTTGGTGTTGCGTGGGTGGGAATCACTCAATTTGTCTCTCTTGTGTTGATGTTTCTCTCTCTTCCTCCCTCACACTGTATCTGAAGATGAATGCAAAAATGTTTTCAGGTGACAGAGACATGGAGGTGGTGTACAGACTGACAATCCCCAGAAGAGAGGGTGTTGGGGGGAGAGATAAACCACAGAACTTATACGTATGTGTGCATGAACAATGGACATGAACAACAAAGCTGGGGACAGGGCAGGGAGAAAGTGGGAGGGGGGAATCAGTGGCAAAAAAGGGGAAACATCTGTAACAAAAATAAATAAATAAAAAAAAATGTCCTCGGGTGAGGATAAAAAAAAAAAAAAGGAACTCTCATGCATTGTTGGTAGGATGGCAAATTGGTGAAGCCACTATGAAAATCAGTATGGAGGTTTCTCAAAAAATTTAAAAAAGAACTACCACATGACCCAGAAATTTTACTTCTGGGTATTATCTGTAGAAATCCAAAACACTAATTTGAAAAGACACATACCAATGTTCATTGCAGCACTATTTTCAGTAGCCAAGATGTGGAAGCAACCTAAGTGCCCATCAATAGATGATTAGATAAAAAAAGATGTGGTACATATATACAATGGAATATTACTCAGCCATATAAAGAATGGAATATTCTCATTTGTGACAACATGGATGAACCTAGAGGGTATTATGCTAAGTGAGAAAAGCTAGAGAGAGAAAGACAAATACCATATGATTTTACTTTTATGTGGAATCTAAAAACAAATTAGCCCTGGCCAGGTAGCTCACTTGGTTAAAGCATCACCTCAATACACCAAGGTTGTGAGTTTGATCCCTGGTCAGGGCACATACAAGAATCAACGAGTGAATGCATAAATATGTGGAATAACAAATCTCTCTATCTCTGTCTCTCTCCCTTCCTTACTCTATCTAAAATCAATTAAAAAAAACAAATAAAAAGAAACAAACTCATAGATACATTTTGATGGTTGACAGATGCAAAGGAGGATAAAGGATGGGTGAAAAATGGGAAGGGATTAAAATGTGCTAATGGAAGTTCAACTTCCATTTGACTTAGTGATCCCACTTCTAGGAATATACCCTAAGAAACCTGAAACACCAATTAGAAAGAATATATGAACCCCCATGTTCATAGCAGCACTATTTACAATAGCTAAGATCTGGAAACAGCCCAAATGTCCATCAGATCAAAAAGCTGTGGTACATATACACAATGGAGTACTATGCAGCTGTAAGAAAGAAAGATCTCTTATTTTTTTGAGACGACAAGGAGGGACCTGGAAAGTATTATCCTAAGCAAAACAAGCCAAACAGAGAAAAAAAAGTATCATATGATTTCACTTATTTGTATAATATAATGAACAAAACAGTCTGAGGAATGGGGTAGTCCCAGAGACATGGAAGTGGGGTACAGACTGACAATCCCCAGAAGAGGGGGTGGTGGGGGAGAGATAAACCACAGAACTTATATGCATGTATGCATGAACAATGGACATGGACAACAAAGCTGGGGACAGGGCAGGGAGGGAGGGGGTGGGGGAATTAATAGGGGAAAAAGGAGAAACTCTGTAACAAAAATAAATAAATAAAAATTAAAAAATGTGCAAATTGCCAGTGATAAAAACAGTCACAGGGTTGTAAAGTACAGCATAGAAAACATAGTCAATAATATTGGAATGACTATGTATGGTGTCAGATGGGTACTAGAATTATTGGGGTGATTACTTCATAAGTTATATAAATATTGTATCACTTTGTTGTACACCTGAAAGTAATATAATTGAAAAATAAAAAAAAGGCATGTCTCTAAGATACAATCACACCCTTATTAGGATATCATAGAGTGATCACATAGATGCATCTCCCTCTCTCCACTCTCCTCTCTTCAGGCAGCACTCCAACTTGTCCTGGACTCCCCCTCCCATCTCCCTACTGGCAGGAATGCAACATTGCAGCAAGCCAGCTTTGACCATGCAATTGAGGACAAGATGCCAGAGGATGGTGGAGCAATAGTTATGGAAAGAACGTGGGCACTCTAATGGCCCCACAGAGTGGAATCCTTTCACCATCCTAGCCTGCTTACCCTTGGACTGTTAACTTAGAAAATAATAAAGGTCTATCTTTTAAAAGCCATTGACTATTTAGACCTCTTTGTTGCAGCAGCTCAGCATATCCCAATACAGTCTTGCTTAGTCTGTCTTTTTTGGTCTGGGATAGATTCTGTCTTTAGGGGGCAGTACATGTGCGCGTGTGCACACACACACAATCTATCTGTCTATCTGTATAGTGAAATATATAGTGACATATGTATAGTGATAAACATAGTGGTATACAGTTGACCCTTGAACAACATGGTTTGAACTGCATGGGTTTCCTTATGTGTGAATTTTTTTCAATAAATACCATAAGTGTATTTTCTTTTCCTTATGATTTTCTTGATAACATTTTTTTCTAGCTTATTTTATTGTAAGAATTCAGTATATGATACATATAACTTACAAAATATGTGTTAATCTGCTATGTTATCAGTAAGGCTTCCAGTCAACAGTAGGCTATTAGTAGCTAAGTTTTTGGGGAGTCAAAGTTTTATGTGTATTTTTGACTGCATGGGGGGTGGTCAGTGAACCTATGCTCTTCAAGGGTCAACTATAACATATGTGTATATCATAGTTATATATAACACAAATGATCTAACATTATAATATTATATTGTAATTAACATACAATTAACATATATTATATAGTAATATATATATGTATATGACATATCAATATATGCTATATAATATATAGTACACATATAATATATATAGTATCCACTGCCATTTGCTAATTTTGGGCTTTATAAATATTTGTTACCTGGCTAGGTTCTAGGACTCAGCTTCTACTCACCTCTTTATTGCCTTTGGTTGTGTTTGAGGAGGTGATCTCTGCAAAAGAATCATGGGAAGTTACTGTTGGAACTGAGTGAAAGGGTGGAGAGGTGGGGAGGTAAGGTGGGTAACTTGAATCTAGAATGTCTGAAGTCAAACTAATTATGTTCATGACAAACTTCTTTGCTGTTTTAGGGGTCAGAGTCCAAGTTCCTTGTTATGGTATAGAACAGTGTTTTTCCACTGGGGGTGATTTTGCCCCCAGGGGACACTGGCAATGGCTGAAGACATTTTGGTGGTTACAATTTGGTGAGGGGATGCTACTGGCATCTGGTGGGTGGAGGCCTGAGATGCTGTTCAACACCTTATAGTACACAGGGCAGCTCCAGACCACAAGGAATTATTGGACCTCAAATGCCAATATTGCTGTGATAGAGATACCATGTCATAGAGGAAGCAGAAAAATGTTTCCTTTTTGGCATAATTCTTCTTCTTTGTTTTGAGACTTCTTTGTTCTGAGACTCTTGGCTTTGTGGAAGATCATGGAGTTTTGGATACTTTTGTTGAAAGAAACTGCAGAACTGATTTAGTGTGAATACTATTGGTACAGAGTTGGCCTGAAAATTGAGATGTGAGGTTTCCTGATCTCTAGCTGCAGGTTTATGCTGCTCATGACCTTCAGCTACTCAAGGATATGATATGAGGTGAGTGGGCAGGATGTAATGATATTTGTTCACTTTTCTCCAAACTCTCTGCTGTGGGGTCTCCAACCTCATGACCTTAATGCTGGATGAAGAGGAGCACAAGGGAACAATCTTTTGGGAGCTTTACTTTAAATGTCCTATTAATCTAAGGAGAAAGGCTCCATTCCAGAGACATGAACTTTTTTCTCCTCTTAAGATTATATTATATATGAGACTTTATAAGAGAAGTTTTCTCTTTCCCACCATCAATTCCAGGAACTAATGTTGGGATAGATGCGTCATGAGAGGAATCTGAAAGTTGGGGGTCATGTCACACTCTGAAGAGTTCTCACCCAGCAGCCATGCCCCTTTTCTTCCCTGCTATCAGAACACTGACCCTAATCCCAGGGTCAAGCCCTGAGATCTTTTTTTTTCTTCTTTTTTTATTCCTTACCTGAGGACATTTTTGCATTTGTCTTCAGATAGAGCAGGAGGGAGAGAGGGAGGAAGAGAGAGAGAGAGAGAGAGAGAGAGAGAGAGAGAGAGAGAGAGAGAGAGAAACATTGATGCGAGAGAGACACATTGAGTGGTTGCCACCCACACGACCCCAACCGGGTCGGGGACAAACTGCAACCGAGGTACATGCCCTTAGTGGGAACTAAACCCAGGACTCTATGGTCTGCAGGCCGACTCTCTAACCGCTGAGACAAACTGGCCAAAGCAAGCCCTGAGATCTTATTCTGTTATTCTAGGAACTTGTTTATAGGTAGGAATTTGACCCAGGTTTAGCCAAACAGACATAAGGGGAAGTTTGTTGTTGGGTTTCTAGGACAATTTTTCTTCATGGCAAAAAGAGAGAGTGGCTCAAGAGTACCAATCACCTACTCTTTGTTTTCCAACAGAAGCATGGATGTTTGAGGATGTGATGTTTGGAGCTGTGGCAGGCTTTTTGGGACAATGAAAGAAAGCCAACAAAGCTCAAATCAAATCTCTGCTATAATTGAGATGCTACATTAACAAGCTGAAAAGCTATTTATGGGTTTTTGTTATATTGAGATTTATTGATAATCTCTATTGATAAATCATTTTTAGTCAAGTATAATATTACTTAAAGCCAAAAGCATCCTAACAGATACAAAGTTAGTGGTGGTGAGAAGGATGAGAACACTTTGACATATACTTCAGCCAGCTTCTGTCATCACGTTACCAATGATCTTTTCTCCACCTTCCAACTGGAGCAATCAACTATAAACCTTGGCTCAGATATGGACTCTGACCCAAAAAATCTCAATCGTAAAAAGAAAAATTGAGAGTCTACATAGGGAGGCTAAAATTGGAATAGAATAAATTTAAGATCATGGAGGTACAAACAAACTCATCGGTAAGTTTCATTCTTTTTGAAGAAAGCTTGGAAAGAAGAGAATGATTCCTCTACTGTCTCACAGTATAAGAACAATTGGCCATATTAAAACAACACATTTGAAATGCACTATCTCTATAGTACATCTCACCAGGCTCCCAGCTTAACTAACATTTGTAAGGAAAAGACTTAATATTCTTAAAAATATTTTTTTTCTTTATTGATTTCAGAGAGAGAGGAATAGAGAGGGAGAGAGAGATAGAAATATTGATGAGAGAGAACATTGATCAACTGCTTCCTGCATGCCCTCCCCTGGGGTTTTGTCCCACAATCTGGGCATGTGCCCTGATCAGGAATTGAACTGGTGACCCCTTGATGCATGGGTCGATGCTCAACTGCTGAGCCACATTGGCCAGGTAAGACTTCATATTCTTAGAAAGCAGTGATTGCCAGTCAACTGCAATACATTTTTCTTCAGATCCTATTATTCCTATGCTCTTTTCTGTTTCATAAAGAGTTATATTTGCTAGGATATCCTGTCCTGTGGCTTCATAATGGGTTCAGCCAATGGGAAATACCAGTAGAATATTGGAGAGGAGAGAAAGGGAGAAGCTAGGGTATTTCTTTCCTTTTCTCTCTGATTCTAGTGGTAGCTCCGCACTGACTGCATCATCTCTCCCGAGTTTCCACCTCTTATTAGAATTCAGTGGTTCTCAACCTGTGGGTTGTGACCCCTTTGGGGAGTCAAACAACCCTTTCACAGGGGTCGCCTAAGACCATTGGAAAACACATATTCCGATGGTCTTAGGAACCGAGACACCGCTCCTCTATCCGTCTCCAGGTGGGTCCGCCTACAGGCAGATATGCCCATATACAACATGAGGAACTGTATTAAAGGGTGGTGGCATTAGGAAGGTTGAGAACCACTGCATTAGATGGACTCAACTCTTGGGCCCTGGTAATACCACTTCCTCCCATGTTTCTCTAGTCTAGGAAGGCTGCATATTTCTCTTGTTGCTAATTTTTGGGTTGCCTCCTTAACCTCCTTATGACTTCTTGGCTCTTCCTTCAACAGTACCAATTCTCTCTATAAAGTTCTTTATGTTTGAGAGACCTAGTGCTGTGTATGTTTTCCAGGATGTATCTTAACTGAGAAAGAGAGATAACATTATTGTTATTATTATTATTATTTTGTACCAGAACAAGAGTGCTTTGTCCCTTTTATGGTTTCCCTGGGATCTATGTTGTGGTGTAGCAAGTGGCTGAGGGACTCTCAATACAGGCAGACCCAAATTAAAAACCTGCTTCTTAGCTGGCTAACCATGGATCCTCAGTTTCTTTATCTGTAATAACAGTCCCTACTTTAAAAGATTATTTTATTATTATTATTTTTTATTTATTAATTTGTTTTTGTTACAGATGTTTCTCATTTTTCCCCCATTGACACCCACCTTTCTCCCCCCTCACCCCATCCCCAGCTTTGTTGTCTATGTTCACTGGTCATGCATACATGCATGTAAGTTCTGTGGTTTATCTCTTCCCCCCCAACTCCCCTTCCTCTGAGGCTTGTCAGTCTGTACCCCACCTCTATGTCTCTGGGTTAATTTTGTTTATAAGTTTGTTTAGTTCATTATATTCTACAAATAAGTGAGATCATGTGATATTTGTCTTTCTCTGCTTGGCTTGTTTTGCTTAGTATAATACTTTCCAGGTACTTCCATGCCATCTCAAAGCATAAGAGATCTTTCTTTCATAAGATTATTTTAAATGAAATAATGCATATAAAGTACTGAGTATAGTATCTGGTACATAGTATAAGTAAAATAAATATTTAGCTACGAGTATTATTGTTTCTCTACTAATCAGCTTCTTAGAATTCAGCTCTAAAGATTCTCTCTCTTAACATTTCAACTGTCACAAAATCTCATAGTCTTATAAGTCCCTTATTTCTTGGGAAAATAGATAGATTTCCCCCATCTATATAGTTTCGATGAGGGTAGTCATGCTTTTTTAACATGGTACCTTCTCCTGGACACAGATCTGAGGGTGGGAATATTACTTAAACTGGGCCAGTTTGGGTATTTCCAAAGACTTAGCAAGTAAACCCAAGAGAAAGTTAGTTGATCTCTCTTTAAGTGGTTGGAGCAATAATGATGGTAAGATTTGAAGCTATTGACCATATTTCCTGTCCTGTGGATGAGGTAACAGAGAGAGCAAGTTTACAAGGAAAGAGGATGGAATCTGTCCCAAAGAGTATCAAAACTGTGGCAACCTGATAATGTTGAGTCCCCAGTTTCTTTAAAAACATTTTTTTCTTTATTTATTTTAGAGAGAGAGAGGAAAGGGGAGAGAGAGAGAGAGAGATAGAAACAATGATGAGAGAGAACATATATTGGCTGCCTACCGTATGCCCCCCACTGGGAATCTGGCCACAACCCAGGCATGTGTCCTGACTGGGACTCAAACTGGGAATCAAGACCTCTTGGTCCATGGGTTGATGTTCAACCACTGAGCCATACCGGCCGGATGAGTCCCCAATTTCATTTCACTCCAGAAGCCCTTGAGTTTCAAGATATATTGATGCATCCTTATCATAAACTCATCTTTTTGGCTTATGTTAACCTGAGTGAGTTTCTCTTCTTTGTGATTCAAGGGATCTTATCTTATTCATTATTTTTACATTTCCATCTCCAAAGTTCACTTCCTTCTGAACCCTATTATTTCCTAACTTTCTTCTTTACCCTTTTCCCTCCTTTTCCCATCATCCATTACTTCTAGAAAATAGAAACCTGTCCCCACCACACACACACAAAATCTTTTCTGGTGTCAGACTCAGTAAAAAATATAGAAGGGTAACAAGAAGACAATAATTTTCTTACTCTGACAAGTGTTCTCATTAGAATTCATAAAGCGTGTTTTTCCAGAGAGGAGTTTATATCCAGGGTCACAGTGACAGAAGAAACTTGCTTCAGCATTCTGGCATTCAGCATTTGGTCCACAATATATACTAATGGGTGGTTTACACTCATCAATATCTGGAGCACAAAGGAGAAATTTGGTCATTTGCCTGACAAAGATTTATTGAGCATCTAATATGTGCCAGAGGCTATGCCCTATTCACCAGTGTCTGTTATGGTTTTACAAGACAATCAATTAAGGTTATGATTGTCTTTGCTCTTGCCTTTCCTCATGGACTTTGGCTGGGTTCTCCAAGGAGCAGACATTGAGCCCTGGCCAGAGTGGCTCATTCATTGAATGTCACCCTGTGCACTGAAAGGTCGATGGTTGGATTCCTGGTCAGGGCACATACCCAGGATTCAGGTTCGATCCATGTCGGGGTGCATATGGGAAGCAATTAATCAATGTTTCTCTCTCACATTGATGTTTCTCTCCCCCTCTCTAAAAAATCAATAAAACATATTAAAAAATAGAAGAAGCCGACATTGAGACAAGGACCCAAGTGCAAGTACTTTATTTGGGAGGCGATCCCAGAAAACACTGGAGAGAAAGTGGTGAAATGAAACAAGGATGGCAAAAAATAAATAGGATATTATCAAGCAAGTTTCCATTGTGGGTACCAGGGTCTCAATTCCTCTAGGAAACTCTGGGAGGCAGTGTAGAGCACATACTGCAGAGTGACTCCATGCAAAGGGTGAGGGAGCTGGGCTATTTATCCACCAAATATCATTTATTGATGGAGGAATGCTCCTAGGGAGTGTTAAATCCCCTTTCCACCTGTCCTGAATATGCGCTGAGTGGTCTTCAGTAGCTAAAGAAAGTTTCAGACTTTGTGTACAGAAGAATGGTGAATGCCCAGAGCATCTATGTGGGATATTGACCATGTCTGCTGTTATGGACTGAATGTTTGTATTTACCCTCTGTTCATATGTTGAAGCTCTAAGCTCATGGCTGTATTTGGAGATGGGGCCTCTCAGGCAGTAACTGAGATTAAATGTGACCATAACATTGGGTCCTGATGTGATAGGATTAGTGTCTTACAGTAAGAGATGTGAAAGCTCCCCCTCCTTCTTCTACTTGAAGTCATCAAGGAATTTTCATATGAAGATATAATATGAAGGCAGATGTCTATAAGCCAGGAAGAGAGGTCTCACCAGAAATCAAATCTGCCAGAACCTTGATCATGGTCTTCCCCAACCTCCAGAAAGGTGAGAAAATAAATTTCTATTGTTTAAGCCACCCAGTCTGTGATATTTTGCTATTGTAGCTGTTTAAAATTATGTCAAGTGGGTAGTGAAAATGTGTGATTTCCTGGTCTGGTACAGAAAACTTGAAATTTGGGGTTTTCAGAGTATGACATAGTGCTCATGCAAGTTATTCTTTCCTTGGGAGCTCAGACATGGCAATATTGTTTCTACTTGAGGTGTAAACCCTGACATTTTTTGTTGGTAATGTAAATACCTAACTTAAGCTTTGATTGTTGAGGCATTCTTTTCTTTCTTTTTAAATTTTTTATTTATAAATTTGTTTTTGTTACAGATGTTTCTCATTTTTCCCCCATTGACACCCTCCTCCCCTCCCCCCCACCCCATCCCCAGCTTTGTTGTCTATGTTCATTGGTCATGTATACATGCATGTAAGTTCTGTGGTTTATCTCTTCTCCCCCAACCCCTCCCCGCCAAGGCTTGTCAGTCTATACCCTACCTCTATGTCTCTGGGTTAATTTTGTTCATCAGTTTGTTTAGTTCATTATATTCCACAAATAAGTGAGATCATGTGATATTTGTCTTTCTCTGCTTGGCTTGTTTCGCTTAGCATAATACTCTCCAGGTCCTTCCATGCCATCTCAAAGGATAAGAGATCTTTTATTTCTTACAGCTGCATAGTATTCCATTGTGTACATGTACTACAGTTTTTTAATCCACTCATCTACTGATGGACACTTGGGTTGTTTCCAGATCCTAGCTATTGTAAATAGTGCTGCTATGAACATAGGAGTACATATCTTCTTTTTGATTGGTGTTTCAGGTTTCTTAGGGTATATTCCTAAAAGTGGGATCACTGGGTTAAATAGAAGTTCAACTTTTAACTTTTTGAGGTAACATCATAGTGTTTTTCACAGTGGCTGTACCAGTTTGCATTCCCACCAGCAATGTACTAGAGTCCCCTTTTCTCCACACCCTCACCATCACTTGTTGTTTGATGATTTGTTGATAGTGGCCATTCTGACAGGTGAGGTGATACCTCATTGTTGTTTTAATTTGCATCTCTCTGATGATTGGTGATGTTGAGCATTTCTTCATATATCTCTTGGCCATTTGTATGTCCATTTTGGAGAGGTGTCTATTTAGGTCCTCTGCCCATTTTCAAAGTGGATTTATAATAAACACACTGCCAGTCACAGGACTATACAAAGTGCCAGGCCTCCTCCCCTACTGAGGCTCCTTTGTTTTAGAGATCTTGGTTGATTTTGATAACTGATTATTTGGGCTATTTTTTTCTCTTCCTGTGTTTTAAATTCCTGCTCTTATGTTTTAAATTCATTAATAAAGAGTGAACCTGTGAAACCCACATGCACTCTCTCCCTCCACCCATAACCTTGCTGTGTGGCCCCAGGTGTAATGTAAAGATCTTGTAAGTAATAAACCTGTATCTTTTCATAATTTTTTAAAGGTTATTGCTGAAGGGCACTTGCAATCATAATAAGAACCACAAGGTCAGTGAAGTTGTAACATCAATTTAGAAAGGAGAAATGTCTCGCCCTAGGCATCTCTAGTATATAGCATTACTATCCACAGACCAGCACAAAACATCACTTCTCAGGCCAGACGTGGCAATATAGTTCTCATGTCTCAAGTACTCTCTTTCTCAGCCTCCCTGTCAGCTAGGGAAATCATGTGACACACCCTAGCCAATGAAAAGTAAGAATAGTTCTCTGGGGGTTTCTGGGAAAAAGCTTACAAAGTATGAGACAGAATTTACAATTATCACAAAGAAATGAGACTTAAGTTGGTATTAGAATTCCTATCTGGAACCCTGTAAGCTTGAAGACAGTTTCTGTGATTACTGGGATATGCATCGAAGACTGGACTAAAATATTCTCTACCAAGGCAAGGTAGAATCTACTTGTTAGAGTGAAAGAAATGTGAGCTTATGCAATAATTGAGAGAGATATTTTTCATGGACCATATATATATATATTTTATTATTCCTCACCTGAGGATATTTTCCCATTGATTTTTTTTTTTTTTTAGAGAAAGTGGAAAAGAGGGAGGAAGAGAGAGAGAGAGAAATGTAAAGAAAAAAAAAAATCAAAAATCAATGTGAGAGAGACATATAAATTGGTTGCCTCTTACACACCCTGGACCAGGGCCAGAGATTGAACCTGCAACCCAGATATGTGCCCTTGACTGGGAATCTAACCTGGGACCCTTTGGTTAATGGGTCAATGCACTAACTGCTGAGCCAAACTGGCCAGGGCTGATGTACCCAATTTGAAGAAAACATTCAAGACAGTGCTCCCAGCAAACAACAAATTAACAAGTGTGAAATTAGTAAGTATGGAAACTTTAACTTGAGGGAAGATGAAGGAAAGAGGAAACAAGTGTGAGCAATGAACCTTGAGATAAAATTAATATCCATGGGGAGAGTGGGAGGGGAGAGGAGGAAATGAGAGGAGTAAAATAAGAGTATTTAAAAAAATCTAATTTCTGTCATGGGGGAGGAGAAGTAAGTGTGAAATGAAGCATCTTAAGAAGAAAAACAATGTAGCCCAGTGGGCAAAATAATTGATGAGATTTTAAGATATAGCAGAGAAACATATATTTGATTACAAAATTAAGAAAAGAGAAGGTGCATTGGCTGGTTTGGCTCAGTGGTTGGAGTGTTGGCTCATGGACCAAAAGTCATGAGTTTTATTCCCAGTAAAGAGCATGTTCCCAGTGAAAAACTTGGGTTGCAGGTTTGATCTGTGACCCCAGTGGGGGTTGTGTGGGAGACAACTAATCAGTGTATCTCTCATACTGATGTTTCTTTTTCTCTCTCCCTCCTTCTTCCTTCCTTCCCTAAAAATTAATGGAAACATATCCTTGAATGAATATTAACAAAAACAAAAACAACAACGAGAGAGAGAGAGAGAGAGAGAGAGAGAGAGAGAAGATAAGATAACAATTTATAGGATGGAAAAGTAAAGAAACTCCAAATAAATAAAGAAAAAAAAAAGTTATCAGTAACTTGACCAAGCAAACACAAATAAAAAAAGACAAAGGAGGAAAAATAATATAAAATTAATAAAAATGCAAAGTAAGATGGAGGGTATAACTATATCAGCCACTATACTAAATATAAATGGACTAATATACACTAAATATAAATGGAAATCCTCTATTTAAACAGAGACAAGAAGATTGAGTGTGGCAGTTTTAAAACATGGCCTCCATATTATTTGACACTCTTTCTTTTGAGATATGAGCTCATCATTGTATCCCTTTGTGTCCAAGTGGGCTTGTGATTGCTTCAAACAAAAGACTTGCAGAAGTGACACAATGGAATTCTGAGACAAGGTCATAAAAAGCATGCAACTCTTCCTGGGTCTCTTGGAAGGCTTACTCTCTGGAAGTTCTATGCTGGGGTACTCTCTCTCTCAGAATTCAGTTATAAACTGTGAGAAGTTGAAACTATATAAAGGGATCTGTTACAGAGGTTCTAGTTGACAATTCCAGTCTTTGAGTCACCCCAGCCCAGGCACTGAACATGTGAGTGAAAGTGCCTCTGGATAATTCCAACCCTTAGCCATCTGAGTCACAGCAAGCCATTTGAGCATTTTGGCTGAGGCCTAGAATATCATGGTGCAGAGAAGAGCCATCCCTGCTACGCCTTTTCTAAATCCCTGGCTCCCAGAATCAATGAGCTTAATTAAATGGTTTTCATGCCAATAAGGCAAGGTTCGTTACATAGCAATAGAAAATTGGAATATTGGGCTAAAAAATGATATCCTATTATATGCTGTTTCAGAATACTGATAAACAATGTTAAAAATACAGGGGTATACAAAGAGACACTAGGAGAATTAAAACAG